TTTGAGTCAGTATAACTACATTCCATTAAAATATCTAAGTTTTTCAAACGGGATAAAGTGTCCTACAGATTCAAATACGGTTTCAGGCTGAGCTATTCTGTAGAGGCTACTGCAAGAAAGTCTAAAGGGTATTGAAACAAAAGCTGTTTTCATGTCACAGATTTTTAACTAAAGCTTCACCTTGAAGCACACTTGCTGGAAGGGCAGGCGGTTTCACATCATCACCTTAACTACCTTAGTAAGACACACCACTTTTTCTCCAAAGCCATCTATCTCCATAGAGGGAAACCAATTTCATTCTCTGACTCACCAAAATAGCTGAATTTCTATCACAGTTGTTGGAAACAGTCTTTTCAGATTAGGAATTGATACTGAAACCACAAGTCTCATCCAAAATTAATTGAAATGTCTGTAACAGGACCTTGACAGGATTTGAGCAAGCACTGGAAAAAGGATCCCCTTCCATAACCGGGCTATCACCACATGAAGAGATTTGTTCTCTATGCTTTGCACGTGTCTACATTTACATCTGCTGTCTTCTTTTCCTCACTATATATCTCAAATTGTTTTCTGAAAAAACAGCACAGCATCAGCAGCAACCTAGACTAAAAGGGATGTAAGGGAAGAAGGATGAAGAAAAAAATTTTCAATATAATAGAATTTACTAGGAATCAGTTTCTATTGCTTGAAATTTTGTTCAGTAGAATAGATGACACATATGGTCAGGAAAAGAAAATGGATTGTTTAATACATCTTTTCTACCTTTAATTTCTGGGATAGTATCAAATTCATATATTAGATTCTATTTAAATCACTGTAGTTCTAGTAGGTTGATTGTTCCTCATTCACATGTCCTTGTAAATGTGAAGCTAAGATCATATTTTTCATGGTTAATCTTCCTCTAACAATACCATCCTGTCAAGGCAATTTATTCCAATACAGTCAGCTCGTAAGATCAATATTTTCTTTTTTATAAGCATATAAGTACATGATGAAAGGTATTTCAGTTACTTGAAGTGCCTCTGCTATCACAGAAGATAGAATAACAGTTTTAACTGGTGTGTAGAGTGTTGGTAAATCATTACTAAATAAAATTGGAAGATGTTCACTTGTTGCAGGGCTCTCCAACTTGTCAGACTGCAAGCTATCCAAAGGAAAAAAGATCTGAATCTGAAACTTAGCTAGGATACTCATATCATGATGACTTTGTATTAAAAAAATTAGTTTTAGCATGGCATTATTTCTCCCGTTGCAAATTTTTTTCTGTCCAATAACCTTTCTAGCATACCTCCACTTAAACTAGAAAGACACTATACAGACTCAACAATGCACTGAAATAATTTGGTTAAAATTCACTGTCAAAATAGCTCAAGAGCCAGAAGCTCCATCCCTTCTATTATCATTCTTCCCTTGGGAAGATTCTCTCCGCTACACAGAATCCTGCATTTGAAGTGGAGAACTGTCCTATCACTACAGAAAGTTTCTTGTACAGAGTTGTGCAAGCAATATTTATGATTTTATAAAGCAGGATTTTATTTTATGAGCAAGTATCTACACAAATGCTATTGTTTGCAAAACAGTGTTGGAAAAATGTCATGGGGATCCAGATGTAAACAAACGTCAGAAAAAATGCTGATGTTTGTATCTGCACGGTTTTTAAGACAGAGAATAAGAAATTTTTATACAGCATGATTTATTAAAAATTTCTTCCCTATCTCTACTTCTCCCATTTTTTCAATAATATGCAGATCTTTCCATATGCCAGATGTATTTTTTTCATGTGCTTCCTTTTCTTATGCTATTCTGTGCTAGCAAAAAAAGATACTTTAGGAATTCTTTCTGAAGGATTTATCAAATAAAAAAATTTTATATTTTGCAGGTTTAAAGTGCTGTTTTGCCTTCAGCTTTACTTTAGACAATACCATTCCTAGAAGTCTTTTAATGGAAAAGCATACTCTGATCTGCCTTTCAATACTGAATGTTGTTGGCATACTGGAATCTAGGTGAACGATTAGATTTCAAATAACAGCTTTTATGAATATGATTGCAAATTTCATTCATATACAGCATTTCAAGATACAAAAATACATATTACGAACAACTGAATGCAAAATAGTAGCAGGGAAAGTGGAAGGCTTCACATACTAAGAGTGACATAACAGCTGAATGGTAGCATTTCTGAACCAGCATAAGAAGAGAAAAAAAACACTGGCTTTCCACTATAGTACATTACAGATGATACATTCAGATCACATTTCCTCTGCTATGCTTTGCATCTTTCTATAAGCATTTAGTGCTCTGAAGACAAAGTTTATTTTTTATTTAGGATGGTTTGTTTTCTTTTTTAAATCTGCCTAAACTGTGTGTCTGTACTGTCACTCATCAGTTAGCTAAACCAGGACAGTTCTCATGAAATTGGGAGCCACATTGGTGACTTTGATTCTGTCTACTGCTTCAATGAACTCATCACAGCTGACTGACACGAATCAGTAATGAAACAAACTGGAAAGACCCTAATCTACAATACCTTCCAGATGTTGTATTGTATTTGGGTTCCTATATTATTTTGAAATTTAAAGCATACAAAGGAAACCTGCTAAATCAGTAATACATTTTAAAATGTACAAATAATTACTGGGATACAGCAAAGTCCAAACCTGTTAAACGATTTTCACATTGTCTAACATTAAGGACTTCTTATTTACTTGCCTTGCTAAAAGGCAAACCTACCTGCAAATCCTACTTACACACAGAGACAAATGGTGCAGAAACCATAACTTACTTGTTCTGAGTCACCCTCTACACAAGGATCTCTCTCTCTGAATTACAAAAGATATATAAAAGGAAAAGGCAAAGTAGGCATCTAACCTGAAACTGTAAATCATATGGTCCAAACATCCTCCCTTCCCCTCTAGTCACACATTCAATCCTACCACTGTATTACCTGCAAGCATGTCCTAAGTATTTGAGCTCCACAGACAGCAAATTTTGCCATCTCTTTAAAAGGTGTAAAGGAATACACAATCTTCATAACACACTTCAGTGTATTTTCTTAAAACTTCTTTCATCACAGTTTCTCAAAATAATATAACTTGCTGATCTAAATTAAAGCTACATTAGGAACCCAAATAATTCAGATTTTTGAATTAGTGAATTATTTCACTAAGGATGATTTCTCTAAAGTGAAAACCGGCTTGGAAGCAGATGCAAAGCTAAAATATGTTAAATAAGTCACTCCTAAGCTGACTACATTAAAAAAGCCTAATTTTTTTTACCTAAGTGGCTGATAAATGTCTCAGGAGGATTCCATGAGAAAACAGGTGAAGTGGGACTATAGACAAGAAATCAAAAAAAGTGATATTGGTGTATTTAAGAGATATGGAAATCCTTTCAACCCTATGAATAAATATAAGCAAAATGCTTAACTCTTCCTGCAAAATGACATAAATCTTGTAAAAAATATCCAACAGAAACTGCTAAATGTGCAAACTCTCTCATTATCCCTGTCAGTACTGTTAGTTAGATTGCTGTGTCACCATGAGTCAGTCAATTATGCAGTCACTTTCATAAAGGGTATTCATCCCAAATAATTATCTCTTGGCCTCATTTCCCAGAGTTTGTGGTCTTGCTATTTTCTCATTTCATATTCCTTTTCAATGGATGCTGTGATTCTATTTATTCTCTTAGGCAGCCTTCATCTCCAAGGATTTCAATATCAAAGTTTTAGGAAACTGATACATCGCATTCAAGTGTGAAACTTCATCCCTTTAATTCACATAATGCAAAGAATCTGAGATTGAATTATAGCTACTGAAATCAGCAATTTTCTTTTAGACATAGGCATGGTTTTTATTTCCATACTTCCTTTTTAAATCTTATTTCCTATTCTAATATGGAACTGTATGACATTTTCTCTTTCCAAAAGCCTTAGTTTTCCATACATGACAGAAGTATGTGATAAAGAAAGTAATCATCTGAGAATGTATGGTGGTATTTTCTGGTCGTTTTACTGCTTTCTTCTCTGGCATACTAGTAACCACTGATACATATAATATGACCTTTATCGTGGCATACATTTATTAATCTTTTTTCGTAAAACAGTAATTCATCAATAATTTTTGTATCTTTAAACTTCCGTATAAAGTTTAAAATATTGTAAGACTATTTAAGACTCTGTCTTACTTTCCTTTGCATGTGAAACATTTAAGATAACCACTCTTCAGTTTTCAGGGACAATGAGTGCCTGTATTTTTGGAGAAATTAATTGTCAAACTGCGACGTTCCATACATTGTCTAAAGGCACTGCATTCATGGAATATGCCATTTTTAGGAAGTTTTCTCTGAAAAAAAATTCCAAATTTTGACCTTCATTTTACCCAATGAGAGAGCATATGGAATTTGTACAAGAAACTTCATATGTCACATTATGGATGTTCTTTAACTCATTTGTCCTCTCTATTTCATTCTGTATTCCCTTTTACATGTGGCATACTTTTTCTAATGCATTTCTAGCAGTCCAATACAAATGTCAAGTGGTTAAACATATCTCCCAAATCTGTTGCTCCAGTGGATTTAAAATTCAGCCACATTGGCTCAAAAAAATGCAATGAAAACTTGTTGATTTCATTGTTGACAATGACTGATGGCAACCCAGTTCAGTGAATGAATGGTAAGGATCACCTGTTCAGGTTGCAAGCTGAGACAACCACATCAAATTCACTGTTTTATAAAACAGACTCATGTTAGACAGTAATTCTAAGCTGGAGTTCTAGACCACTTACAGTAGGAGATTATGTTAATGAATTGAGAACAAAATGGACAACTGTTTTTTCTGACAAAACCCACCTTTCCACACAACTAGTACATTCACTGCAAAAACAACTTTGTCATACTATTCTTCTGTTTACACAATGACATAAAATGAAAAAATTCTCTGTCAAAATGTGCAAAGTTTCAGTAATTTTATAACAGCTAATAGAAGGAAAAAATATTTTACTTACCAAGCCAACTTCTGTTTAAATATACTGACACAAACACTGGAGGGACCGTGAAGAAATCTACCACTGAGTTAACTTCCAGCCAAAACCATAGCTTGTCATTGGCTGCTATAAACTGGAGGAAAAAAAAAAAAAAAGGAGAGATGAAAGAATCAGATTATGCTCACGCTGACTGCACGTATGTGAAATATTTTCTGTTCTAAAATTCTAAACTCAAAAGTTAGTGCAGTAATTGATGTTTTAAGTCAGTCCAGACAAAACATGTCTCACTAGAAAAAAGTTTGTATTGTGTATTGCTTGATTGCTTAATACATTGGTATTATAATGAAAAATCTAACTGAAGAGATAGATCATATATGTGATCAGTTGTAATATCTACGCTAAAAAATATTTTTTCCACATTTATTAACAATCTATCAGTATTATTAGAGAAGTATAGGCAAGTATAAAATATTTTGAAGTATATCACCTTTCCTATAGCATACCAAATGTACTGGTAGTAGTTTCATCACGCATTTGCTGCTCACAAGTTTCTAAGTACATAACAGTTTACAAAGAGTCCTATTATCATCTGTCCAGAGGAGATCACCAGGATGACTCCTACAAGGCATAGTTCAGGACTGCACCAGCACTGCAGTCCTTTGAACTGTGCCATAAACATGGTCATTCTTGTCTCCTGACTATGAAATCAGCCTAAGGAAAGTGGTAAACTTAGATGCCAAGGACATCATAGATAAAACTTGCCCCTGTGCTTAAGGTCAAACTATTATTCCCATTTGAATAATAATTAAAACATAGAAATATGAAATTTAAATATACAAATAAATATAAAATTTTAGTGTATCATGAAGACATTTACAGGAGCAGTTTTACTCATTTAAGTTTTGAAACTTTGACTAACACATTTAAAAACAGTGCTTGTATTTTTTGAGTTAAAGAGAATAGTCATTGTGTTCTTTCAAAGCAAATACAGACAATCTCTATTTCATTCACTTTATTTCCTTGCCTTAGAAATACTTCAAAACTTTGACAGAATAAGTTTATGGAGCATACCAACTTTGCTGGAATGCCAGATTAAATATTTGAAAAGGAGACTGTACTGATGTCAAAAATGTTGAAATCATATTTAAAAATAAGACCAAAAACATGAGAAGCATTTGCTTCAGAGAATACTCAAAATGGAAAATAAATTGATATTTTGCTAGTCTGTATTACTCAATATCAATGTTCCAGCATGAAAACAGAACAAAAATATCCAGTTTCAGCAGAAGATTTCTATTCCCTTTTGTTAAATTTAGAAGTAGTCAGAATTTTTGAAAGTAAAAGCTTTTTAAGATGTCAGATCAATATTTTCATAACTTACAATATATGCTCCAATCATAATTTTTTCTTTCCATAGGGCACAAGCTTGAGGCTTTCAAACAAATTAAAGTCAATGAAAACGAAGTCTGTTGACTGTAAAGGTCACTTATACTTTTCTGTGTAAGTACTGCAACATTTATTCATTAGGTAATTAGCGACTAGTAAAAGCCTATTTCATTACAGAAGCAATCCTACCATGCTTGAAGAGATGCTATCTTTTAAAAGCACTAGCATAATTCTGTCCCTTTCAAAGACGGATTACTGCCACACTTTCCTTTTCTCTGCCAGACCCTATTGCTTGATAATATGCTAACTCAGGCAGTTTGGACTTAGTCTTTTCATCAGAAGTTTGAAGGTTTCACTTCTGAGCTCTCACATAGTTGGACACTAGGCAACAAAGATTTTAAAATGGATATATGTGTGTTTGAACACAAATATCTTCTATAACTGAAGATATGGCAATATTTACGTGATTTTGAGTTGCAACACAATTTCAAGGAGAACAGATGGAAAAGGATGAGATTCTAAAATATTTCTTCAAAACCTTTAATTTGCCAGTGAGTCCTCACAGGAGATATTTATCAGAGAAAAAAACCCTAAGCCACTAAAATACCTAAACATATGAGATGCTTATTGCATAAGTAGCAAATTCATTATTGATCCAATTCTTGTGTCCACACAACCAAGTGTTACCTTTTCCTCAGAAACTACTGTTTAGTTCATTGGGACTTCTTGGAGATCTGAAGGTACACCTGTGTTAGCATTCTAACTTAGACAAGGAATACCAATCTGAAGTGAATCCTTATCATTCCCACTTACCATAGCCTCAGTTTGCATCACAAAACAGTTTTGGATAACACAAGAATTTATTTTGCTTGAAACTAAAACTGAAAAAATGAGTTCTGGCAGTGCATCTCACTCACTGTAACTGCTAAAGTGCATTCAGTCCACAGGACCAGGGTGCAGTCTACAGAGCTATCTCTTTCTTTCAAAAAACATACAGTGCAGACATGAAAGTATTAGCATCAGCTCTCAGTATCTTCCCTCTTATTGTGCTTGCTCTACTTCTTGATAATGTAACCTAAGTTACTGCTTTGAGTAAGAGTGGACAATACGTAATTTTAATTCTTTTGGTAAGAAGATACAACCTTATTACCAGCACAAAATTTACAAAGGATTTGGATACTTCTAAAAAAGGATTTTTGGAGGTTCACAACTACCATGCATTGAATCCATTATGTTGAAAAGTTAACCTACATTGCAGGCCTTATGGATGTCTACTAAAGCCCCACTTTTAAGAATTAGGGGCTATTACACCGTATGCTTTTAAAATATAGCTTAGAATGCATACACAGTAGTGTAAATACTGTAGGAATTTATCTACAGCTAAAGGATAAACACTGCACCTAGACTAGGTGATGGAATAACCTAGATTTGCAATATAATTCCTTACTGTATCTTCAGAAAAAGTTGGTTAAATTGGTCAGAAGTGAAATAGAAGGAACTCAACTATCATTGTGACAAAGGGGCTCCTGTGATTCAGGAAAAAATGGACAAAGAAAGATGAGGAGGCAATATTTGTATTAAATTTAAAAACCAATGTAGCAGGCTTTCCGTTCACATGATGTTTTCGTTGTAGTTCCATTAGGTTTGAGGCCTTTTTTCGCTAATTTTCCAATTAAGAAGCAAAGGTGGTTTTCAAAGGGTATTAAAAAAAACCCCAAACCCACAACCAAACGAAAAAAAGCCAAACTGACAGCTTGAATTGCAAGCATTACTAGCCCAAAGTTTATTAAATGCCTACCTGTTTCAGAGGTACCAACTTTTAGATCCTGCAACAGCATTACTGGATTTGCAGAAAGTGATGAGTACGGTCTAAGGTTCTGTGTTTCAGCATATTAACTAGTATTTATAGCTTCTGCAAAGCACTCATTAGCAGTCTGGGAAAGTGGATGTGTATAAAACTGAATACAGCAGCTCTAGCAGGTGTTATCTCAACCTCTGACTGTCAAAGACATATCTAACAGCAGAGGAACAGATCAACTCTTCACCGGTTTTGCTGAAGTAGTTATCACACCACTGAGAACAATGAAACTAGATTCGATGTCACTGACCAGCAGTGAACTGTTTAGTTTTCACTTTCTATCACATGAGAACAGTCTGGGACAGCTTCACCTATAAACTATTGGTCTCCTTGGTGATCTTAGATTCTTCTTATTACCTAAATGTTCCAAACAAAATGCTTTGATCCTGCATTTTAGAAATTAGCTTAATTCTGTCCAGCCATTGCAGAGTCAAGCTGCATCCAAAGACTCTCCCTGCCTCATGCAGTCAAAGACACACACACTACTTACACGCAAGCCGAAGTAGAGTAGGAAGAACACATTGAAAGCCATGTCGATCTGTAATGTGAAATCTTTGTAGAAATTCTGGCAGGATTCTATTGGGCTATTTGAAACAAAAAGAAATCAGAATAAATTGTCAGTATATGAGTTTCTATTCTGCTGAGAATTTTATGCATTTCATTAAAGACCTTGATTCAGAAATAATTTTTCTGTTTTCCAGTCGTTTACAAGATAGAAGCAAGCATTTCAAAGGAATTATTTCATTCATTCAGTTAGTCATTCATACAGTGTTTATATTCACCTGTTCAGGTAATATCTGAGAGTTAACATGCAGATACCCTTAGGAAAGGACAAGCAGGAGTATACCTCAGGATTCCTTAACCCCACATTAACCCTTAAAGAACTGACTTCTTTCTAAAGGAGACACACCTATGATACTTTAGGAAAAACCCTAACAAGCACACAGCTACTGTGAAACATTACATGCTTTTAATTAATGTCATAGTATAAAACCTTTAACAAAAAAGTAGTTGCTTAGGAATACATTACCCATTAGCAACCTGGGGTACTTAGTCTTGTAGAATCCCTTGTTTATAAGAAGTTGGTTGGTTTTTTTTATTTTTTCTCACTTCTTTTTTTTTTTTGTATGGCTATTTAATGTACTTTATGTACAGTACTATGAACTGAGTAGAAAAGCAGCATAGCCCATTGGTGAAATTAAATAACAAAATAAATTGAAGAATTTGAAGCAGTACTCTAAGGGTTAATTTCTGCATGCAGGTTATTTAAAATACCCTTCTGAGTGTCAAGCAGCCATTGCAAATTATAGCTTATTATATTATGCTTTATTTAACAGTGGGACAGATCCAAAGCTTACTCTATACAAACTGGTACTTTATAGATATACTTTTATCTAAGGAAGGCAATAACTTCCACAAGTATCATTAGTGATTTATTTGTGAAGTTTCTAAAATAGGTTGTTGAAGCCACAGTCCAATACTGTAGTCACAGACCAACGTGAAAATCATGTCCCAATATATGCTGATGTATATGCTATATATACATAATGTCCCATCATATATATACTTTATATACATAATGTCCCATCATATATACATACATATACACACATATATTGCAAATGATCATGTGTTCATCACAACTAGAATAAAACAGGAAATTAGAACGCAGATCATTTGATCATTTGGAGCGCTAGAAAATATCCTTTTAGAAAAGCAGAAATTTGTTGGCTTTCCAGGTCAAATAAATCACTGAATGTGAATCTAATACCAGTTAGTATAGCAGTAGCTCTGCAAATATAATGTTAGACTGCTCAACAAGCAAGATTCTATGCATTATGAATGTCAGTTACCTAATTAAAGGCATAAAGGATATTGTCTGGACTACCAGGTCATTACACATGCAGCCAAATTTTCCATTCCTTGTATACATTACAGGTCAAACAAGTTAAGTACAGCATGCCCTCTCCTGTCTTTAGATGCATGAATGTATACAGTAAAATTCTCCTTGATGTACAGTAGCTTTATATGTTAAGAAGCTTCAGTGCTATAAGAAATTTTATTAAAATTGTTTTTCAAAGGCTATTTGCAAAAACATTGAACTTATGAGACATTTTTGTTACACTTCAAATAAAACTGATTTACACAAGCAGGCAAAAGGCAATAGAAGCCAAATGTCAACATATAGCACAGCAGACAGTATCTCATACTTTACAAATATAGCTTTAGCTACAAAAACAGTGGATGTAATCTGAGAACCCAACTGGATCATTTTCTTTATGGCATTATTGAGAGCAAAGGATTTTGTCAAAATAAGGTAGATTACACACTGAGTCACTATGCACCCTACCAAAAGAAATCACAGGAAGTATTGTGGAAGCAGAATCAACAGCCCTGCACCAACACAGAGGTTTGGACTCCTAATTCCCGGTTAGGTTCCTGCAAAAGCTGCAGAAATTCACTGGAGCTACTGGAACTGCAGGGACTTATAACTAGGATAGAGAGCTCTTCTTTTCCACAGTTATTTGGTACTTTTCACAATTGTCAGATAAGGTCAGCTAAGGTTGCAGCTAACAGCTGTACTCTTGTGTCAGTGCCCTTTACAAAACCCTACAAGACCTGACAAATTAGCTAATGCATAATACATTTTCATCTTGTTTGCAAAACACTTCGCACAGTAGACCACAATTCTGATTTGGGACTCTTGTTTACCTAAAACCAGAACTGCTATTTCTGCTATTCATACCCTTAAATCTTCCCTCATTTCAGAGATCAAGACTGTCTCAATTTTTAAGTTATCCATTTCAAAGACAAACACAACATCCTTTCCTTTTTTACTTTAAACAATGACTTTGTCAGAAAGGCATGCCACTGAAGAAATTATTCTTCAGTTTAGGTATTTTTTTGTTTTCATCAGTAGCTCACATTTGAGTTGAGATAAAAATATGGCCACTGATGTTTATCATTGCACCATTCAGTCTGCTGCAGATAGGAAGCCAATTTGAAACTCATCGTTACACCAAGTTTCCCAAAACCAGAAGTGTTATAGTTGTTAGAGTCCCAGACAGTAGTCTACTGGGCTCTCTAAGACTAATAATATATTCTATTTTTTATATTAAAATCACATAGCATGTCCTATGGGATTAGATCCCTTTAGGGCAGCAGAGGTTTCAGCTTTAAGAAAGCAACAGACTGTTAGAAACGTTTTTATTCTTCTTCCATGTAAGCATGGTTTCACACATTTATATAATAAAATCAGTGAAATAGCACACTAGCAATGACAGGAAAGATTTAATATAACTGGATAAAAATTATAGTAACGATATAACTCTAAATGCAATGGACTTCTCCCCCTGAAAAAGTGGCAGGATCAATAGTCCAACAGCTATTGGACAGCAGGTCAATGAGGCAGCTAGGGATGGCAGCCCACCAGACCTGTTTTTCTGAACAGAGAAGGACTGGTGGGTGATGTGATGGCTGGAGGCCGTCTTGGGCAAAGCGATCACAAAAGATAGTTTCTGATTCTTGGAGAAGTCAGGAGGGGAGTCAGCAGAACTGCTACCTTGGACTCCTAGAAGGCAGATTTTGACCTGTTTAGGAAACTGGTTGAAAGAGTTGCTTAGCAGGCAGTTCTGAAGGGCAAAGGAAAGCTAGAAACACTTTAAGAAGGAATTTTAAGGCGCAGAAGTAGGCCATTCCCATGTGCTGAGAGACAAACCGGTAGGGAAGAAGATCAGCCTGGCTGAACAGAGAACTTTGGCTTTAACTCAGGAATAAGAGTGTATCACCTTTGGAAGAAGGGACAGAAAACTCAGGAGGGCTTCAAGGATGTTGTGAGGATGTTGGTGGAAAAGACAATAAAATGTTTCTAGAAATATATTAACAACAGGAGGGCTAAAGAGAATCTTCATCTCTTATTGGATGTGGAGGAAACATAGTGAAAAAGGATGAGGAGAAGGTTGAGGTACTGAATACCTGCTTTGCATCAGTCTTTAATAGCAACACCAGTTGCTCTTTGGGCATCCAGCCTTGTGAGCTGGAAGACTGGGATGGGGAGCAGAATGAAGCCCCCATAATCCAAGAGGAAATGGTCAGCAAACTACTACACCATTTAGACACAATTCTATGGGGCCACAGAGAATCCAGCCAAAGGTACCGACAGAACTGTCAGAAGTGCTCACCAAGCCACTCTCCATCATTTACGAGCAATCTGGGTTAACTGGAGAGGTCCCAGATGACTGGAAGTTAGAAAATGTGACATCCATCTGCAAAGAAAAGTCAGAAGGAGGATTTGGGGAACTACAGGCCTGTCAGCCTGACCTCAGCACCAGGGAAGGTCATGGAGCAGATCATCTTGAATGCCATCACACTGCACATGCAGGACACCAGGGGATCCAGTCCAGTCAGTTCGGGTTTATGAAAGGTAGGTCCTGTTTGACCAACCTGATCTCCTTCTACGACAAGGTGGATGAGGGAAAGGCTGGGGATGCTGTCTACCTGGACTTTAGTAAAGCCTTTAACTTCATTTCCCACAGCATTCTTATGGAGAAACTGGCTGCTCGTGGCTTGGATTAGTGAGGGAAAACAAGGGTTGGAAGGCAGAGTCCAAAGTGTGTGGTAAATCTGGCTGCTGTCCAGTCACTAGTGGTGCTCCCCCTGTATCAGTGTACCACTGATGAGGCCACACCTTGAGTGCTGTGTCCAGTTCTGGGCCCTTCACTTCAAGAAAGACACTGAGGTGCTGGAACATGTCCAGAGAGGGGCAACAAAGTTGTTGAAAGGTCTGGAGCACAAATCCTGTAAGAAGTGGGTGAGGGAGCTGTGTGTGTTCAGCCTGGAGGAAAGGAGGCTCAGGAGGGACCTTATCACCCTCTACAGCTCCCTGAAGGGAGGTTGTCGCAAGGTGGGGATCAGCCTCTTCTATCAACTGTAAGCGACAGGACAAGAGGAAATGGCTTCATGTTGTGCCAGGAGAGGTTTAGATTTGATATTAGGAAAAACATTTTCACTGAAAGGTTGTCAAGCATTGGAACAGGCTGTCGAGGAAAGTGGTTGAGTCACCATCCCTGGAGGTCTTTAGAAGATGTGTGGATGTGGCACTCGGGGACATGGTTTAGTGGTGGACTTAAAGGTCATTTCTAACAGAAATGATAATGATTCTATGATTCTCTAATATTTATGTGCACTTTGAAAGAGAATCTTTAATTTGCACATTTTTTACAACAAAACTAGTAGTTATAAAGCCCAGTTATTACAGGTATCATAGGCATAAACTATCTCAGTGAGCAAGAGTGACTACAAGAGAAGTAACAAAATGACTCCAGTTTAAATTCATACAGATGGGGCAAAAATTTGACAAGGTGATGCCAGAATCCTTAAATGTTTGCTGCAACTGACACTGAAGCCAACACTTCACATGACACTTTTGCCACAGAATGCACCACTTGTCACTTCAATGCAAAAGAATTTACTGCTGATTAAATAACTACTTTTGTCACAAGTTTACATCATGTATTTATTTATTATTCTCACTCATTTGTGGTTCATTTGAAATGCTTCTAATGCATTGAAATGGTTCTACTGG